TCCCGGCCGCTCATTTCGGCACGCACGCCACACGCTCCGTGGCACCGAAAGGGGCTCCACCGAAGGCCCCAATGGCGCCGCACGCACGCGGCCCAGGCTTCCATGTCGGCACACCCCTCACATGCCTCGGGGTCCCCCTGAGGAGGTCCCCCGCTGGCGCCGCCCGCGTGCGCCCAGCGGCCAGCGCCTGGCCCGCTCTCGGCCACCCACTGCCAGCCTGGCACGTGTCCCTATCCCTGTGCTGGGCATCTCCCCATCGCGATGTCGATCTTAGGGATTCCTTTATTTTTCGAGAGCGCACCCCTAAGATTGTCATCGCTTTTTGGCGTGTCAATCTTAGGGATAGGGATAAGTTCGAGGCTGGTAAACCCAGCTAGCTTTCTTTGCTCCGCGCAACGGACGACCCGCGCGCGTCGCCCGCGGGGCAGCCGGCGCGCGCGGCGCGGGGACTCCGCGGCGCGCTCTGCCCAGAACCGCAAAAACCAGGGCGCGAGTGCACAGAGAGGGAAACATCTGAGAGCCCACCATCCCGCTCCGCTCCTCCCCCCACCTCCCTCGCTCCACACCCCTGCCCGCGCTGCCCCGCGCCTCGCTCTTCCTGCCTATGAGAGCTACCCGGAGTTTCCGCGACCCTCTCCTTCGCCCCATCTCCCTCGCGGTACTCGCGGCTGCAAGTGGTTGGGTACTTCGTCGAGGTTTGTTTGCTTTGTCTGCGCGGCCCTGATCTCGCTCTGTAATTGATCGATCGAAGAGTTGCAGCGGGGTTCAGGTGTGCTCTTTGTGGTAGCCTCAATGGCAGCGGGCTTCTCCTCCGTCCTGTTGCGGGCTGCTATGTTCTTGGCATGTGGAAAATCGTGAGGCGCTGCTGGCTTCTCTGTGGTCATCCTGGAGGAATTGATTACCCTCGTCAAATTGTTCTGATCGTGCTGGGCAGCTGTGCCTGTCTTGTCTTGCACCATGCTCCTGTGCGTTCTGTCGTGCCGCTCGCAGGTCTCTTGACGGCATAGGTCTCGGCGTTCGAGTCGCTCGTGTCCTAATTGGTGTCGCTGGCCATTCGTTCATTGTCACCCCGTCAAGGTCTTGAGCAACATGCCGACGTCTTGTCCCTCCGCCGTGCCCTTCGCCCTTGTTCGTCTTCTGGGAGCAGGGATGGGCGCCCTTCCTATTGATGTGTCCCTTTGTGGTTTTCACCTTCGTCATCAGCGGCGCCTGTGTCGCTGCTGCTGTGGTCCATGGGGGACCTGACGTTGCGATGCAGGGCGCTGAACTCGTCGATCATGTTCCCCAGTTCACCCGTGTACTTCTCTGTATGGTTCTGGCGCGCCTTGGTGTGCTCGCATTAAAATTCCATGGTCCCCTTCGCGTTGCCCATGTCCCTCCCTGGCTTGCCGGGCTTGGGGCATGCCGTTGCGGATCATAGCTCTGGTAACGGCGATATGGGTACAATGTCGTTTGTTGGTATTCCTGCAACGCTGTTTTGTTGCAGTGGTTGCGGTTGGTCGCCTCTGCTCGGTGTGCTTGGATGTTCTTCCAGCCACCTCTTGAGATCGGGGTCGTTGGGCGGCTGCTCCCAGTCCAGCCTTCGTGCCGCGTGAACCATGGCGTTGTCGATCGCGCTGGCGACGTGGTCGTTGTGTTCCTGGGTTGTGTCTTCTTTTTGGGCGCGCAGTGTCTCTCGAGTTGGGCCTTGGCGCTTCCTTCTGCCACTGCTGCTGCTGCCACTGCCCTTCTGGTTGCGGTCGTCGGGCTCGCGGTCTTCGCCGCACGATGTCGTGGGGCCTCCCTTGCCCCTTGCCGCTGCTGTCCTCGCCGTTGTAGCCCTCGTTCCAAAAAGTGGAGGAGGAGGAGGAGGAGAAGGAGGAGGGTGAGGGGGAGGAGGAGGAGGAGGAGGAGGAGGAGGAGGAGGAGGAGGAGGAGGAGGAGGAGGAGGAGGCGGTCGTTGGCCCACCTGCCCGTCCAGGTGTTGCTCCTCGAGCGCCCGAGGCCCGCTCGTGTTGCCGGTGCGGCGGGTGGCGTTATGAAATCCTCTGCCTGGCGCGCAGCTCGGCGTGGACCTCCAGGGTGGAGGCGTCGCTCGTGATCCACTCGCAGGGCGCTCGCCATGATGCCGCCACTGCGGGACAGTCAGTGAGAATCGCGCCGTGCAGCGTGCGCGTGTCGACCGGGTCGCGAATGTGCAGATGCGGCGCGTGCCCGTACTCGCCCAGTAGCTCGACGTTCCCCGTCGCGCCGATGCCAAGCAGGGTCGGTCGACGCGGAAGTCATGGTGTCCTTGGGACGGAGACAAGACGTAAGTTAGTCGAAACGGAGTGCAAGAGCTTTGGGTAGAATGATGTAACAAGTTGTATGGCACAAAGTTGAGGTTTCAGTCGAGGCTGGTGCCTTGGGGCTGGCACACACAACCACGGGTTTCTTGGCAAACCGTGGCTCCTCCTCCTCCTTTTCCTCCCCCTCCTCCTCCTCCTCCTCATCATCGATTCATTCATGGGTATTAAGGTGACGAGCCATATGATTGCTCGACTGCCCCTCTCGGGGGTCTGGGCGCATTCCCGCCACTGCGTTGGCCCAACCTCCTGACAGCCTGCGCTGGGGCTGGAGAGAAGAGCTCGGGGATCTTATGACCCGGGTCCATCCAGACCCGGGTCAGCAAGAAACCAAAACACTGCAATGCAGGAAGAGAAAACTGCGACGCAGGTCTTCGCAGACCCGGGTCAGCCCATAGGCGCGGCCGCCTCGCGGCCACGAGCGGCTCGCTGACCCGGGTCCGCCGGAGGGGGTATCCGCAGGATCCTGAGGATCTGGCGCCCTGGCTGACCCCCGTCTGCATTGACCCCCTAAAACATGGCTAGGATCGGGATAAATCGCTCCAGAGCGTTCCGGAGCGCTCTCAGAGCGTTCCGGAACGCTCTGGAGCGGCCGCGGCGCCCAATACATCCTCCAAACACGCCGATTCTCAGAGATTTCGAGTTATCCCGATCCGATTTTGTCCCGATCTTCGCGTCGTTTGATCTTGGCTCCCGAAGAACACGACAAGAGGCCGAGCCCGGGCCGCCGGACCGAGGCCCCGCGGGCGCCCGAGGTGGGCGGAGAGGCGGGGGCCTCCGCGAGGGGCCGCCGGCTCTGTCGTGGGCGGGCGCCGACCCGCCGTGCCTCCTCGGGGCCTCGCGCTGAGGCACGAGCAGGACGGGGGCCAGGAGGACGAGGGCGGCGAGGGGGAGGGGAGGGGAGGAGGAGGAGGGGGATGAGGAGGAGGAGGACGTCTCTCTTGGGACGTCTCTTGAGGTGGGGGGGGCGCCCGTGGCGCCCCCCCATCGGGAGGAGGAGGA